TCATAACTACCCTCACATTTCAATTCAGATCGGATCTGCTACCTGAATATGCTTCCTCTTTTATGCTAAATAAAATAAGCTGTTTATTGTAAATCTCCAAATGTTTTTGCATGACACATTGAAGACAGAGGGGTTGACTGAAAGATATAAAGCATTTTCTCATAATTACAACAAGATGCTTGTATGAAGCTGAAGTGCATTAGTAACTTAAGTAAAAAAGCAAACTTGATAGAACATAAATGTAATATTTTCTATTTTTAATTCACATTTTACCTGAATAATTTCCCCTTTTTTTTTATCTCCCTTGTGCAAGAAATTACTGAAATAACAAAGTTACTTAGCATTTTATCAGATACTATAATCTTTTTTTAAATATACACACACATGCATGTGCACACACATACACACATTCAAAAGATGGACACAAGTTAACTGCACATCAAAAACGTAGGAGGTACCAAAAGACATATTCAATTCAACCAACTTTGAAGTGCTGAGGAGGCCAAGGCCATCTGTTTATTTCTGATGGTTATATCTTGCTTCAATTTTTGAAGTCTTGAACAAACCTAAAATTGGAATTATCTGGCTATTAATGGGTCTTTACTCCTCAAAATAGAGGACTGGGTGAAACAAGATTCTTCCAGAATAAAATAGCAATATTTATTCATAGCACTATCCCTACTTTTCCACCAATTCTGTTGAAAATGATTAATTGATACATTTTAATTTCAGAAGTGGTATCCTCAGATTATCTTTACAGAAAACTTGTTTAACATGAATTACAGATTTTCATTCATATGCTAAGTGTTGATGTCCCAGTAGCATCAGTTTGAATAGAATTTGTACAGAAAGGAAAGTGGATTAAAAGTATCAATCACTTCCTCTCATCAGTTTATTCCACTGATTCCACTCATCAGAACTGTTACAAATTCTAACTTCTTCCCAATTTGAACTTGTATAGCTTTACTTACTGATTGTTCTTTCTTGTAACTTGTTTCTTTTAAGGGTTAAAGAGTTCTCAATGCCCTCTATTCTCTGTTAAAGTACTTGCATCCCATAATAACCTATTACATTTTTATTAACTATGCCTATCAACTCATATATCTTTCCTCCAGACACAAAGTTATTTGTATTTTCATTAATGTCCCTTTTCCTTTGAATATAGCCCACTGCTAAGTTTGCCATTATGTCATAATGAATAATTTAGTCCAATATAATTAAAATATGATTATTGCACTCGGTCTGATTTACTTAATTTGCATGTCAAAAGGTAACATTTCAACCCCAAAATATTGACTATGAAGACTTTCATACTTATAATATACATATTTTTACAAGGTAGTTTGAAGGTCTACTACAGAATCTTTATTTTATTTTATTTTATTTTATTTTATTTTATTTTATTTTATTTTATTTTATTTTATTTTATTTTATTTTATTATTATTATTTTTTTTTTTAAATAATCCACTATTGTTCTGGTAGTGTTTGAATGTGATATTTTATTTTTATTTTATTTTACTTTTTAAATTGCACATATTAGGGGATCAGTGCTTGTTTGATGAATTTATGTCAAAAAAATGTTTTTCAAAGTCAAAATAGAGCTTTTAAAAATCTACTTTTATGCTTCAATTTTTTACTGGTGTATCTGATTATGTAGAAGGTTGTAATCACATTAAGAATATTGACTTATTGTTGTGTAAAAAATAAGTCTCCTCCTCTTTCTTTTCCTTGTAGAAGCTGCATTTGTAATAAATAAAGCATGTATGGGACTCACACCACAGTTACTGGAAAGGGCAATTCATACTATGAAACTCTGTCCTTCTTAAACAGGATGTACATGGGAAAACAGCTCAATAGAAAATTTTTCCTCACCCATGATAACATTCAAGCTACACCAAGAATCGTTTGGGTAAGTGCTAGGTGGTCCATTTGGTCTAAAATCCAAGGTAGCAATCATACAAAAAGATAAATAAAAGTATGTGGTGTTCCACCATCTGGGAATGTTTTGTGATACTTATATCTAGTAAATGAGTAGCCTGAATAATTTGAGTTTAGACTTGAATGTGGAACTAAACCCACTTCAGAGAAACTGAGTAGCTATATTATTCTGCAGATGGCATTATTATCTTCCTGGATTTATTTCTGTCCAACGAAATATGATTATCTCTTATGACGTAGAAATAGAACAATTCTATATTCTCAATAGTTCTAAAAAGAACGACACAAAGTCAGTAGCTTCTCTGGAAGAACAGAAAGTGTAGAAGAAGGAACAGTCTGTAATAGAAGAGTCCAGGTTTCTTTTCTTCATTTTTTTCATGAGTCTTCCCAAGTTATCATGCTATCTATCAATCTGAGAATATTAAAAACCTGTTAGTCTACCAGTTTACCATCCAACTCATTCTCCAAGAGAAGCCAATTTATTATGAAAGTAGCTTGAGAGGTACAATAAAAGGGAGGAAGTTTGAAGGTGATCACAAAGTACCAAACTAACTTTTAAAAAAGTTGTCTCTGCTTTGGTAATATCCATGCAATGTGTTTTGTACAAACGTGTCTAGAAACACACATTGCTAAAATTGAGACCTTTATGATGCTGGCAGAAAAGCTTAACAAAAACTTGAGTCTCTACAGAAGTTCATTGTTGTAGTAGTAAAGGAAAGCTGTTTTTCTGGTTTCACTTTTTCATTTAGTGAAACAATGCTTAAGTCCAATAGTATATGCTACAGAAAACTAGAAGATGAAGATCAATACCCCAATGTCAGAAGCTATAATTTCACTGAAGTTAATTTTATGCTACTATTTTTTAATCGTTTAGAGTTTTTAGGCAGCCCAAAATTATTGTTTGAAACACTTCAATACCTTATGAGCTTGACTATACTTACAGACAATAAAGGAATAACTGAATGAGTAACATAATAAAGAAATGCATGAATGATATTTCTATACCACTTATATTGGAATTGTCCTTATTCTAGGACATGATATGTTAATAAAAACTGAGAATGGAGGATCTACAGACAGCTTGAAGAGCTAGGAGTGAGATATTTCATCTCTCCCTAAACCTTCCTGTGTTTTAAGAGCACTGTTCATATTAATTTCTCAGTGCAATGTCTTTACAGAGTGAACAGCCATTTCTGTTAACTTTCTCCCTACATGACCACTGCTAAAGAATCGATGTTTACACACACTTGGTAGTTAAAGTACATACCACTGTGATGGGACATGTTGCATTTAGAGTGTGCTACTCCTTAACCAAAACTCCAGACCCCACAGACAAACCACTGGTACTAGAACTCTTACCTTTTCTTTTTCAGATTACTAGCAGGTGTTTGTCTTTGTTTGTTTTGTTTTGTTTTGTTTTGTTTCAGTTTATAAATTTGCTTTCTTATTTTTGAACTCACTGACATAAAAAGCTTCTGAAATTATTACAGCTGTTTGATCTCTAATCTGGCTCCTAAAGGAATGGGTTATTTACCTACATGAGCTATAAAAATTTGGAAGTGTAGTACATACATCAGTATAAGGTTTTCCCAAAAGGAAATACCTTTTTTTTTATTTAAATAAGTTTGTTCATACTTCATGATGTTAGTCTCTGCTAGATGAAACTTCAGAAAAGACCAAATTGCCTCATATAATTTGGACCTAAAAAAATTATATAATAATAAAGTACATAGGAAAGCACTTCAGATGAATGGAAAGAGACAACTTCCGATCTCTTTTTCCTCTCCTTCCCCACATGCTGAACATCTGGAAAACTGTTTTTCACTGTTTTAAAAACAGAGACAAGACAATATATATTATTTTTGAGTGAATTCAATATGAAAAATTAAATACAATGTACCATAATGGCCCTATGCAGTTTTCTACTCACAGATTTAACTTTCTAAACATATTTCATTTGGCTTTTCCATTTATTACTGTTGAGGCAAACTGAAGAAACTTGGGGGGGGAGGGGGGGGGGGGGAAGGACAAAAGTTTTCAGAGGGGCATTCAGAGTTTTAAGGACTCTGTTGTCAGTCTTAGTGCAATCTTACATTGTAACTGTGAGTTGCATCAAGGTATGTGAAAGTAACAGAATTGATCCCTATTTCTTTACCTCCTCATTTAGAAGAATAGACTTTATACCAGTTGAGTGTGCCAGTAAAGTAAAACTATAAAACTTTTTTTTTTTTTCAGTAGAAAACCCATGCTGCGTTATGAAGAAATAAAATTGCTTTCCAGTCAAAATCAGTTTATTTCCAAATTTTCAATGCCTTTTCGAAATATTCATTATAGATTTTGGCTCTGTACCTAGTGACATCAGGACTTCTGATACTGACTTCAAAGGGTCAAAATTTGATCTTTTTCTGCAAGATGGTCACATGGATTTTTAGTTGCAGTGTTATGCTCTGGCTTCTCAACTGGTTTGACAAAGTGCTATTTTATTTTACATATTTTCACAGAATCACAGAATCACAGAATCTCTAGGTTGGAAGAGACCTCAAGATCATCGAGTCCAACCTCTGACCTAACACTAACAGTCCCCACTAAACCATATCCCTAAGTTCTACATCTAAACGTCTTTTGAAGACTTCCAGGGATGGTGACTCAACCACCTCCCTGGGCAGCCTGTTCCAATGTCTAACAACCCTTTCAGTAAAGAAATTCTTCCTAACATCTAACCTAAAACTCCCCTGGCGCAACTTTAGCCCATTCCCCCTCGTCCTGTCACCAGGCACATGGGAGAACAGGCCAACCCCCATCTCGCTAGAGCCTCCTTTAATATACTTATACAGAGTGATAAGGTCACCCCTGAGCCTCCTTTTCTCTAGGCTGAACAAGCCCAGCTCCTTCAGCCGCTCCTCATAGGACTTGCTCTCCAGGCCCCTCACCAGCTTCATCGCCCTTCTCTGGACCCGCTCAAGCACCTCGATGTCCTTCTTGTAGCGAGGGGCCCAGAACTGAACACAGTACTCGAGGTGCGGCCTCACCAGAGCCGAGTACAGGGGGATTTTAATCATACCTTCAGAATTTTGCACATTATCTCATAAACTGAAAATGTTTTCTCAGCTCGTGTCCAATCCCAGGTTGTAACCTTGGAAAAAAAAACAAACAGGAAAAGAAAGCAAGTTATTTTTCTTTATTTCAAGAATAAGCTTACTATATAAAAAAAAATAAATAAATAATCTATCCCTAGAACTTCCTACCTTTTACATCCAGTATGGTTTATTTTGAGCAATAACTACCAGGTATCAGACTGTTGCATTCAGACAGTGCTGAGGAGACATCCTGACTATTTCCTTGTACCTTCAAGTAGCTTTGCATGCAGGCTGCTCGTGAAGGAGCTTCCTCTGCCTATGCTAGTGGGGGTTGAATTGATATGCCAACATGATACTTTAATGGGTTCACAGAGACCCATTTCTCCCCACTTCCCTACTTATAATAAGCAATTTGCTCTAATCACCTACATTGTTTGCAAAGGTCCAAAACCATAAAACAGAACCCTCCAACCTTGCAGTGTCCTAGACACTTACTATATATATCTCTCAATGTAGTTGAAAAAAAAAAATAACTAGAAATGAAACAGGTAAATCCACATTTCCTTTTTTCTTTACCAAGATGAGTCTTCTCCTAAATTCCAACAAATTGAGATTTGAATAGTAGTCTATTGCTCCTTGTAGTCTCAGGATTTAACAATTGCTTTTAACAGTATTAATTTAAAGCAACTATTTTCAACAAAAACTACATACAGCTTAGCAAAATGATGCAAAGGTGGGAGATAACACTTAGACAAGATAAAAAGGGATAGATGAATATATTTAATTGGAAAAAGTTCAAAAGCAATCTATAAATAACTTTTGAATAAAAATGCATGAAGGAAAGAGAAGAATTAGTCACAGTCTCAATAGATTGAAAAACACACAAAACAGAGTAGAAAAAGATATTCTATAAGAAAAAAAAAAAAAAAAAAAGGCAAGAAGTAATGAACAATGGCCCAGCTCCAAAGGAAGATAGTTCTGTCATTAAAATTGTTAGAAGTGATAAAAAGGTTGAATAATTTTGTTTTTAAATATTTAAAAATAAAAAGGAATTTGAAAAATATATCATAAAATAGTATTCACAGCATAAGAGAAATTTATTTTTCATTGAAAGTGAAAATCACCATGAATAGACACAGTATTCCTGAATAACATATATAGGTTTGGATGCCTTGCTATAGAACTTTCTTAATCAATACAATTTTATGATGTATGATAAAATCCTGTCCCTGACTAATTTTTAGGTATATAGGCTATTAAAATTGAATCTCTTTTGAGGAAATCACAGTAAAGAATTAAAAGTTCAAAATATGGTGTCATCTATTGGAATTTTATTTGTTTGCAGTCATCTTCAAACACACTTTTTACCATCATATTGCAATATGGGTATTAAATAAGATATCTAATGAAGGAAGTGACAAAATACTGAGAGTTACAAATTATTTTTGATATAGAGTGAGGAAGTGAAGAAATATTGGAAATATACAATCTTTATGAATGGAAAAGCTATTTAGAGGAAAGACATGTAAAATGTTTTTGTTAAAATTAATTAATTAATTAATTAATTAATTAATCTGTTTCTACTGAGGACAAAAAATTAAATGAACTTTCTCACCGTGATCAGAGGAATGGGGAGATGAGTCTTGCTACAGCTCCACTGAGCCCAAAGCACCAGCTATACATGCTGATGCCATATTGCCCCATTACAAAAAGTAACTCCAATTTCTGCTGAAGCACAGAGACACTTGAAACTTTGCTTAAAAGCTCATTGAACTCTCTGCATTTCATGCATTTGCATTTTTAAGGGGACTTCGGAGGTCAGAACAAAACTCCTTCTATATAAAGACGTGCAAAGCAAAAGGAACTGTAAAATTAAGAAACTCATGGAATATTCATACATTGTTTGCCCTGTTCACTTTTTTTTTTTTTTTCTTAATTCAGAAGCTTGAATAGCAAGAGAAAAGGTGTTAGCAGTTTTTTCTCAATTGAAGTTCATTTCCTCTGAAATTTCCAAACTATAAGAAAAAAAAACCTGTCAGACTCAACACACTCAAAGGAGAAAATGTACCAAGAAATGTCAGGAAAAAAAAAAAAAAAGAAATTTCTATAAAAGGTTTAAAATGCAAACAAGATACATCAGAATTGCTCATGTATCTGAACATGGAAAGTAGAAGTAGTATTGATCAAATAAATTAAAAAACAGCAGGGGAGACAGACGATATATACTGTTTAAACAGATGCCTCCCGCTTTGGCAGAGACCAGGGATATAGTTTAATTTGATTTTCTGGTTAAAAAGTTGGCACATCTCTGTTCAGAAACAGCTTAATCCAAGAAGCTTACATTGCAAATATAATTAAAAGTGTTTTTCTTCTTATAATAACACTTTATGCATTCCATAATTAGAAGCTCTGAAACTGCAACATTGAAAGTTTGTTCTTAATCTTTTGCAATCCCTAGAATAAATTAACACATATACCTGAAGAATAGCAAACATAACTATGTGTAAATGTTTGCATGTAGAAAGTAATTTTAAAAGGCCTGCTGCCTTTTAAAGAAGGCAGCAGTTCTTTAGAGAACATTTTGCTGGTCATGTAAGTGTGCATTACATATGTGTTTTTTTTAAGGTACCTCTATACGAACCTCAGTACCTCTAAAGAGTGTATTTGCCATTTTTCCTTCATACTCCATAAACAGAAAATATTGTTTTCTCTGTTTGAAGTGTCTTCCTATTTTAGGATAAGAACCAGAATCTGGTTAAAATAAAAAGTAAATAATAACAACAACAACAACAACAATGTTGTGCTTGCAGTTCATCAAGACCTATACAAGACCTATAGGATCAGTGCTTTGTCTCATAAAGCAGCAGATTGCCAGAATGGTTCATAGCCTTATTATAAATATGTTCTTTCCATACCCAGTACCCATTACCCATCATTACCCATTTATCCACCAGCAACACATTGCTTCTGGAAACTAATAATAGAAATAATGCAAGATAATACTAGAAATAATATAATAATGTAATAATATAAATTCTCAGTAAAGAGGCTTGTAGTTTCTTCCAGAGTGCTTACAAAAGAATAATCCTCTTTTGTATTCAACAAGGGTATTCAGCATTGTGTCTAGGAGGGAGGGCTTTTTACTTGACAGGCAGTGAATGCTGAGGTAGATGTACCAAAGCCAGGAAGGCTGTTTTTGAATTAAGGTGTTTAACAGAATAATATGTCATTTTAATCTGATCCTGAAAAATATCCACCAAGAAGAGCCAAGCTCCCATACCAGTGAAGTGATGGGAGCCACCAACACTGAATACATGAAGTTTTCCTTTCATATTTACTTTCATTTTTCATGTCTTTACTATGTTTTTAAATACTTTCTATACAAATAAGAATAGTGACTGAAGAATTGTATGAAGAGTTGTACCTTTGAACCACATGAAGGATGTAAAATCTGGATCTGGACAACACAAGCTTTATCAGCAGCCAGAAAAGTCACACAATAAAAAGAAATGAATTCACACTACCCGTTGCATAATTTGGTACTGCTAGTGACTCATTAGCTAGTGGCTTAAAATTTAGCTAGAGGATATATATATTTACTGAGGCTTAGATGTACTATAAAACTGTGAAATGAAATTGCAGAGAATGAGACAGTAGCTAAAATTTTACCTCGTGTTCTTAGTCAGATTCCAATTAATATATTTAATGTAAACTCTCATTTGCTTCTCTGTTTTCCTTTTGGTGCTTCCAAGATGCATAAAAGTTATATTCAGGATAAAATCTAAAGACAGAGATGATGTTTTGCAAGCCTTGCCATTTCCACAGCATGCAAAAAGCTTTGGTATAACCAAAAATCTCAGCAGTTTTCCTTTAGAATTATAGTTTAGTTTAAATGTTACCAGCTTGCTTCAGGCTTGTTCTGTCTGCCAAAGGGAAATGAAAAGCCCCTTTTTAGCACAAATATATCTCTATTGTATTTTTCTAAGTGCTCAGATAAGTAGGGGGAAAGAAGTGCTTGTTAGCTGCACAGTCATCTAATGAACGGTTATTTTCTGTCACTTTTATACCACATTCCCTGGAACTCTTCAATGCTGGAAGTGCTGCAATGCTGTTAGGTCAATGAGTGATACCTGAATGTAAAGCATTGCAGATGTTACATGAAACTATTTTATTTAATGACATTTATGACCACTCAGCATGAGAAATATACTTACTGGAGGTGCCATAAATTTATACAGAGAAGATCCCCTCAGTGCTAGAAACTTTGGTGTGTACATTCGATCCTGAAGGGAGTCTTGTTCCCGTTCTTCCGTCCAGCCCATGTAGACTATCTGACGGAAAAATCAATAGTGTTGACAAATTCCTCAGACATTTTCTTCAAATTAGTTGCAAATATTTCAAGCAAGTAAGCTGATGTCTGTCAAATCTTACAAACCTTGAACCACCGCCACAATGTGGTATATTGGCAGTTTACTTACAATCACGTGATTAAAAGAAGAAAGCCTGTTACATCAAAATACTTCAGAACTATTTATTGCACTAGCAACAACATAACAGCTAAGCCGCATACCTAGCAGATGTCTGTTGTCTCTATTATCTCATTAAGAACTCTCTGGAGTAATTCTAAATACTTGCTGACAAATCAAATAAGAGGAATTTAATGCAAGTGAAGTGTAAGGAAACACTAGGCAGGAATGCAAAATCAAGAAACTGTTAAATGTTTTCAGATACAAGGCAGACAGATACATGGGATCTTACTTTATCTTATATCGATAAAGCAAACATTCTGGAGCACACATTTTGAACATTGTACTGATTGAACACATTCAGAATTTATTTTGGAGTATTGAACCTCTTTTGCTTTGCAATAGTGAATTAACAGTCTGTTTTCAGGCATTCTATTTTGGATGGTGCTAAAAAGTAGTCAGAATACTGATAACTCTTACCACTACCTGCAGTTCTTCAGAAACAAATGCACAAACTAGGATTTATTCAAACCCATTTTAGGATCTATTTCCCTACCTATCCACCTATTAATTCTGAGTAACTTAATATCAAATCCTTAAGGTAGTATCTAGTAGAAAACACAGTATGAGTAATTATTATGCCAGCTGCTGGAGAACATCTGAACAGACAGTAGACATTTGATAGAGATTCTGATTTATAAACATGATAATAACAACAAACAACTTGCATTGTGCCATGCAGTGTACATTCCTGTTATAGAAAAAAGATGAACTCATATTTTATATGTTGCTGTTAATGGAATAAATCTGCTTTTAAACCTCTTTGTGAAATTGATTTCTACATTAATTAGGCATGGAACATTCCTTGTCTTAAATGACCTGATATTTTCTGTTTGCCATAATGAAAATGTAAGGAAACCAGTTTAGGAAAAATAATTACAATCATATTAATAGTCAGTTAGTTAGTAAGCTTACCAATATTACACATGTACTTAATGAACGTATTTTTATTTTATTTTATTTTATTTTTGTAAGGAGATCGTGTATATTGCATACTTTTGAAAAAGCAATTTATACAAGTTTATTTCATTGCTATTGAGAAGAGGGGAAGAGGGTTTTTATCAATAATTCTGCATGGAATATACATTAAAATGTATTTTTCTTCTTTTTTTTTTTTTTCCTTTTTTTTTTTTTTTCATTAGATGTTCTTATTGCATGTTGGAAATTAATGGCTTTTTCAAATCCCCATGTACAAAGCTTGCACTACTGCTCTCTATCAGTGTTTAGTACGTACTTTTTGGTCTGTAGAGAAACAGGGAGCAGGTCAATTCTTCCAAGAGTTAGAGCAAAACCTAAACAGTTAATTATATTGCTAATAGCAAACATGAATACTGTAATACAATCTTGGGTTCAATGCCTAGCATTTGTTTAAGTATCTGCTGGTTCAGCGACCAAAAAAGCTTGTAAGACTCTAAAAAGAAGACAGCCATGCCTCAATACTCAAGAATTAAGCAGAATGATCAACACCATATTGTCATGCAATAACTAAACCCCCACATTTTCTGAAATCTTATTAATTCCTAAATGAAAAAAATAGTCAGAAATACAACCTGACAGTTACAATAAGAGAAGTTTTAAATTGTTTTAGTTTAATTTTTATTCAGATTTCCCTTATTTCTGATGTTTTGTGTGTTAATCAATGAAGAAACATATGGAGACCCATCCTTCTGACTTGGTATTAATATGTAGAGCTTAGTGACTGAGAGGAGGAACATACAGGAGGAAGTTTAATATAGAAATTGTACTACTATTTACACAATTTTGATATATTTTCCTTCTGTAACTGAAAGAGAATGAATGGTCTCTAATTTCTAGGAATTAGGACATCTATGCTTTGAAATTAATTAAACTGAATTGATTCTGTGCTGTCTTAGATTGGTTTCTTTAAAATTGGACACAGTAAGATATCATCTTTCCTGATGATACTTCATTTTAGAAGGTTTCTACTTCTCCTATTCATCAGAGTAACAGGGCACAGTCACTCATGCTGTGCAGATGCATTGATATTTCACATTTTATTGCCTTAATACTAAAGCAGCTGTGAAATTTAAGGTGATTTCTCCATTCAGAATTGCTCTCTTGCCTCTGTAGATCATGAGGAGAAAATAGATTGATTTTTCAGACAATCTGCTGCACTAAGGTTTTATTAACAAAATGCATTTTTCCTTCGGACTAAATACCTAATTGACTATTAAACATACAGCAGAACTGTTAAGCAAAGTCGGTATGACTGTAATTAGAAATAAAGTGGTTTGAATGCATGTGTATATTCAAGTGTGGATTAAAATAATATGGATTAGATTCTGGAAAACAGGACAAAAGTAAACAAAAACTTGATAACCATTTTAATTGCATGCTCCTAATATGGTCTAAATTTATCTAACACACTGAACTGAAGTTAGATAAAATATGATAGTTTGCACATAGTCAACATGAGAAACTGTAAATAACTGAGATAAAATAGAGACTACATTCTTGAGACATTTATGTTACTGATAAATATTGGGCCTTCTAAAAAAACTTTGACTATTAACAACCTCAATAAAATTATTTACTTGCAAAGGCATCTGAACTTTTCAAACTCATGGCTCATGAACATATATATTGAAACTGTGGATGAAATTTGACTTGGGAAGTTGAATTTGTTGAGATTCTGTCTGAAAATAAATGTTTATAACCACAGATACATGAAGCATGTGAAATCAGTAATAGACATAATGTCCATTTATGTATTTAAAAATGAGGCTAGTTTTTTAATCATATAAATGTTTCTTTGAGTCTGAATGAACTGCTGATCATTATCAACAAAACTGGGAAGGAGAAATCAACAGACCCAACACGTTTTATTTGCAGTAACATTCCACTTAAAAGATGTTTTTACACAGTCCTGGTAGTTTCTAATTTACCTGCAGCAGCTCATTTCTCAAAATCAAATGGTGACGCAAATTAGTTAATGTAGAGGCTGCTGGTTCAGTAACAAAGATTCGGTAAGCTATTATGGTTTATGAGATAAATCATGTACAGTTAAAAGAATCTATACCTATATGATAAATAAAACAGGACACTCTCTTCAGTCAAAAATCCATAGTCTTTACAAAATCCATAGTATTTCCATCACACAGACACCCAAGTCAAGAAAGAAAATAATCCACAAGTTGCTCTCCTTCATATCAGTTGAAAATATTGCTAACATGTCTTAAATAGCCATAACAAAAAGTTTTTCTATTTTCAGAGATTTCTCCAGAGTTTTAATACAAATTTTATTATATTTTAGGAAGAATGGTAAAAATAAAAGACAAGACATTTTTCTCAAAATGAAAGGTAACATTTATGTGATTTAAAATGAGAGGACATTTAGATGTCCTGACAGATGTACTGACAGCTTTTTTATCTTGGAATTCTCATATTCATACTCATATTACATGAAACAGTGCTGTAAGGCAACAGGATAAACATGGAGTCAGAAGACAAATGAATATGTCAGATAACACAAAGAAAAATATGATGAGGGATGAGGAACTCAGATAATTCCTTCTACCCTGATTTTAATATCCTTGTCCCTGTGTGATAGTCTAAAAATTCATCATAGACATTTTTTAGCAGAAAAAAAAAAAGAACACAAAACAACAACAACAAAAAACACGCACACAAGAAAAGCACATTAAAATGGAAATAAAAGTGTGACAATAATGCAGCCATTGGCAAAGAGTCCCACACTGAAAAGACCTAAGACATTTTTTCAAAAGTAACAGAAGAATTAATGGTAGATAGTTTGAATGAATGATATAAAAAATTTTGTTCAAAGCCAAAATATCTCCTATGCGATTTTTTAGGTTATCTTTCAAAAAATACCTTTTTTAATTAACTATTTTTTTGTTTTTATTGCAAAGAGACATGGTCCTGGGCAATCTCCTCCAAGTGACCTTGCTTAAGCAAGGGGGTTTGACCAGATGACTTCTAGAGGTTCCCTCCAATCTCAACCATTCTTTGATTCTCTAGAATAAGAAAAATTACCAATGCGTAAAAATGTTAAATGATTGCTTGCAAAATATTTTTTTATTTCATTGTTTCTCTGTTCTCCTTTGTATCCTATGTGTTTTATCACTGAGAAAGATCACCTTAGTATCTCTATAAGTACATTAAAGGAGTCTGTAGCGAGGTGGGGGTTGGTCTATTCTCCCACGTGCCTGGTGACAGGACAAGGGGGAATGGGCTTAAGTTGCACCAGGGGGGTTTAAGGTTGGATATTAGGAAGAACTTCTTTACCGAAAGGGTTGTTAGGCATTGAAATGGGCTGCCCAGGGAAGTGGTGGAGTCACCATCCCTGGAGGTCTTTAAAAGACATTTAGATGTAGAGCTTAGCGATATGGTTTAGTGGAGCACTTGTTAGTGTTAGGTCAGAGGTTGGACTCAATGATCTTGAGGTCTCTTCCAACCTAGACAATTCTGTGATCTTAAATATCTATGTAATAAAAGATTATTTCATGTTCACTCATTATTCCATGTGAGATTATAAGACTAGATATTTATAGTACCATCTAGTTTACATTCTATTCTACCATATAGCTTCCTATTTACATAATTTACATTACTATGTTACATCACACAAATTTAAGGAAATATTTAGGGGGTTTAAAGTAGAGTACCAGAGAAATCTGAAAATATTTCTTAGTAATGGAAGATTATTTTTCTTTATACTCCATCTAATAGAAAACTGATAATAAAATACTGAAAACAAATAGTATATTTGTCTTTTAAACATAAAATATTATAATCAGAGTGAAGACAGTTGTTTAGGATAACAG